TGACAGAATGAGCTACCACCCCCTGACTCAAGTTTAAGAATCAGTCACACCATATTTAATTAAGTAGGGGCACGAATATAATTTATAAGTTACCTTCACATTTATAGTAAGGCTATGTTCACACTACCGTTGTGTGCAGGCAGCAGAGAGGCGCTTGGGAAGCGTTTTTACCGCTTCCCAAACGCCTCTGCCAATTCTGCACATTACAGCACATGGTGCTGTTCTAACGGGAGCGTTTGTGTCGCGTCGCGGTAAAATGGACGCCTCTGGTCGAGTCAGGAGGCTTTGAAGCCTCCTATTCTAGTCTATGGTACAGCTCCGCAAACGCCGGCCGTTTGCGGTGCGTTTTTGGGGCGTTCGCGGAGCGGTAACACCACTCAAACTGCATTATAGGTGTTTGTGGGGAGTTATTAACGCTCGGCAAACGCCTAGCAACCACCGCTAAACTGCGCATGCGCCGTTTGCGGAGTGTTTGCCGAGCGTTAAAGAAACGCTCTGCAAACGCCGAACCAACGCTTGCCAAACGCTATAGGGGCGTTTGGCAAGTGTTGGTAAAACAGCCAAGCGTGAACGAGCCCTAATAAAGACAATTAGTGGAATAAATAAAGAGTGCCTCAGACATTTAAGAATTCCAGCGCACAAATTATTGTACACATCATAAACGTGTACATGAATTTGTCACTAATTTGATAGGATTGTCACAATAATTGCCTTTTTACACTGTGTAACAAAATGGAATTGGTCTTGCTTTGTGCCATCTTTCCTGTTTACGATATTAAAGTATTGTTTAATTTGTCACACACATAGCACCAAAATGCTAAGGTGCTGGAAATAAGAACCTAATGAATTTGTCGCATGCAAAGTAAATTTCTATGAAACGGTCACAATTCTTGCATAAGTCCAGTTGTGATGGGTTCTTTTCAAGCTAAACTGAAGATTTTTAGATTGATAGTTTTTTTAAGACTTAGTTTTTTTTTTTTTTTTTTAAACTAAAACTGCAGTTTGTTTTGTGCACTAAAGTGGAAGCGGCATGATCATCTTTACTTCTTTGCAGCCTCCAATAAGACTGAAAAATTTGCAGTCCAACGGTTTTACAGGGCAGGCTTAAATCAGATTGGCAAAAGGGAGAAAATAAATGTTCTTCCTGATGACATTTAAAGCCTTATTTAGAAACTGTACCAAATGTGAAAGTGTAGCAATAGGATTAAAAAAAAAAAAAGTAATTTAAGAGGCACAATGTCAACATTTTGTTGAATCTATTAAAACATTCAGTAAGAAGAGCTTTTGATTCCTAAAGTGGAACAAGAGTAAAAAGAAAAAGAAAAATTATTAACAGGCGAGCTCTTTATTGCAGTAGAGACACGCAATGTCCCTTCTGCAATAAAATGATTTATGCCTGTGCACAGTCTTTTGTAGAATGTTATTCTATTTCCACCATGATGCCAATGTGCTGGGATGAATGATGTTTGTGCATGCGCAGAAGTGACATCATCACACCTTGGCTAATCAAGACAGCCAAAGGCCAGCCACTGGAAGAAGCCATGGTACTAGTGAGAGACCTCATGGGCATTGGACCAGGGGTAAGTATTTCTGCCTTTAGTTACATTTTAACTGTACTAACCCAAACATAAGCTAATCAAAATGAATCATGTACTGGTGTATTGTCATAATCAGACTGAATTTTGATTAGGTGCAGTTAAAGCAAAACTATGGGCAAAATAAAAAAGTGCATAAATAAATCACCCTGTAATATATCTGTTGATCCTGGGAATAGATCTGTTCTTTTTCTCTTTCCTGCAACAAGCAAAGCTATCCAGCAAAAAGTTATGTTATACAGAATTGAGAGAACAAATTACTTACAAAAGGTCAGCATTTAAATTATCGGTTTATATAGCAAAGACATCCCCCATTGTAACTTATAAAGTTCTTTTTTCATCTACATACCTAATGATGATCTCTATAGGCTTCTTTCACTATGCACAGGATTGGGCCTGAAGAAGTGGCCATCATACTGTTTGACAGCACTCTGCAATGTGCTTTTCTCTGCTTAGACTGCATTTCCTTGCATTCCTCATTCCTAACAAACCTGTGATATTCTAAGGGGCATATGCTGGGGAAGCCACACAAGCATTGACCTAAACGTTTCCTCTCCAGGCTGCATTCTGCCTAGGATACACTTGAATGTAAACAAAAAAGGGCATGAAAGAACCACAGCTCAACAATTTGCTTCACTCATTGGAAAATGGCCCTGACATGACAATGTTATCTCTGTACTGCTGAGAATTACAGGTACTGTAAACTGGACAACCAGGCTGAAGAGGAAAATACTTGGTGGAATGTAGCAGAAGTTTATGGCAGCTATATATGCTGACACTTACTGTGGCTGCTCACATGTAAATCGATCAGGGAGCACAGGCTGTCTGCATCCAAGGCCGTTAATCTGTGCCTCTGGTAAATGTTCCTTGTGTGATTACATGCGGACATGCCCACACTTGCAGCAGCCAGCCAGTCCTGGGTGAAGGAGGATCGAGGGGCCAGCAGATTCTACAGAGAGGCTCCCCAGAGGTACATTTGAAATGGAAAGCTGAAGTGGTTTTTGAAGATGAGGAGTGCTGGTATTCAGAGATCTGGAATAGCATCTATGTAAAATGTTGCTAAAGGTGAACTTACACTTTAAGAATCAGCCCTTTTTACTAAATATGGGTGTTTAACAGATTAGGCGCAGTATTTCATGTAAAGATAAAATTCTGCATCACTTTCATATAAGTTCAAATGAACATCATTCTTGGGCAGTTATGGGTAGAGATTTCTACAAACATTGTTTTCTGAGAATGATCAACGTTTTCTATTATAATCTCACTGGGTATCTCTATGAATGCACAACATAGACCTACATCAAAGTTAATCCTCTCTGCACGAATAAAATACAGTAAAAAAAAAAAAAAAAAACAGTGATTACAACAGAGGCAGGCTTGTCAAACTGATGCCTCATTAGGCAGCACACAACATTTTTATCATCTTTGTAGCCCTGAGCCAATTTGAGAATTATAATAAATTTAAACCTAGACTGTTTTATTGGTAATAATTGCTACACATTTTTCCTAATCATGCAATTGAGTTCAGGCAGATTTTGTCTGCATCTATATCAAGAATGAAATTGTTTAAGGGCCCTTTCACATGGGTGGACAGATCGGGTCCGCCTGTCCGGATTGTTCTCACTGGGAAGGAGGATGTAATCAGACATGTGTCCGTCCGTTTTACACAGACCTGCATCCGTTTACACTGACCTGCATCCAATCCGATAAAAGAAGATAGATGGGGACCTGTTCCCTATCGGTCTGATGGATCAGATTTGATGACAGTAGGATGTAAACAGACAGGCGGTTTACATCTGACTGCCCCATAGAGAACAGCGGGCTGGGCTGTGCCCGTGTCCGCTCTGCACAAGCGGAGCAGACACCAACCTGTCATCTGCCTGCTCAGCGGAGATCGGTGAACAGATCCCCTGCTGATAAGGCGGATCCGCTTGGCGAAGTCTGCCTGTGTGAAAGGCCCTTAAAGTTGCAATATAACAAATTAGTTACTAAACATTTCAAACTATTTAAATGATAGTACAATGGTCCTTCAGGGCTCCATCCACCTTTGCAGTGTGGCCTACCCAGTTTAGGCAAGTATATACTAGTAATAAAATAACAGGAATACCTACACTTGCAGTGCACTCATCCTTGAAATACATTTTATTAAAGGTGTATTATTTAGAAACATGCTGTAAAGTGCAACTTTTACAATTATTGTGTGGAATTGAATCCCTTAAGGTGAATCAAGCTCTGCTCCACTCGAAGAGAACTGACTTTACTTCAATCAAGCCTACTGCTTCAGCTTGGTTGTCAAAGGTCAACTTAAATCTGCCAGTCAAGTGGCCTCATACACGGTCTCACTGTCTTCCAACAATCAAGTATGGAGAATGTGCACTTAGGTGGGGAGACAGTGTGAGAGGATCAGGCAATTGGTAAAGTAACAAATGTCAATTTGCAAATCTCTGACCCTTGACATTCAAGGTGAAATTAAAGAACAACATAATTAAACAATCTGAAATCATCAATTAACTACTAGGGAAAAACAAAGGGTGAAAAGGCAGAGATGTGACCAACATGAACTGGCTGGATTTTGGCTATACATTTTTAGGGTCAGCAGATATCAGTATTTAATTTTTATAGTAACCATTGTGTTCCAAGAAAAAAAGATACACTGCTTCTAATACATACATGCATAACAACATTTTTTTCTTTTAAAAAACCACTATAAAAGATTTTATACATGCTGGCCAGGTTCACATTTGGTGGTGACAGCATTCTTTTTAAAGCAGCATGTCATGTTTCGGTTAAAAGAATCAGCTACCATTGAGTTTTCAAACTCAGCAGTAGAAAAAGGTAAAGGCTACTTTCAAGGACTTCAACAGCAGATAAACATCCCCATCTTACATGCTGCTTTTATATAGTAGAATCTGTAATCATTTTTCCCTTTAAATAACGGAACTTTTCTCTCCCTAGGTGCAAACTCAGCAATGCTGACATATTTCACTCAAGAAAAAAAAATACTCATCCACAAGAGCCATATGCATGATGGAGTATCTATTGCTTGACTCTGATAGTTCATTAAAAAAAAAAAATGTAAGGACAAAAGAAAAATAAAAAATCAAAGGGTACTTATTCAAGTATTAAATCAAAAAAGCCTCTTAAAAACCATCTTAATGTATATATTAAAAAGGCACGACTTATAATAAAAAAAAAGTTAAGTTAAGAAAAATAAAACAAGTGATCCCCAAAGACAGACTGGCCAAAAAGGTTAGCCATGTAACGCTGAGGTGATGATGAGATTTCCCTGTGGAAGCACTTGTTCTGTTGCTTTGATGTCAGTGCTGGAGTAAATCAGAATACAGATGTGCTTCCAAAAGAAGGAACAGCTTCAGAAAGCTGTGCTCATAACTGCAAATGGAAGTCTTAAGAGTATCTCCAGATGGCTACCGTGGCAGTAAGCACGCCGGCTAAGAACACTCCGATAGTTTGCCAAGTTGGTGTGCCAAAGTAAGACAGAAGTCCCTCCTGCCAAAAAAAAAAAAAAAAATTGAGATTAACATATGACTTTTCTAACAACACATTGCAAAACAATAAACAACACCCTATGTGTTTGTGCCCTTGCAACCTGTAAAAGCCCAACTCCGGTTGGGGCTGTAGCTGCAGGGACTGGTCTTATGCTGGGAGGATCAGAGGATTAAGTAAATTATCTTCTTAATCCTCTTCACCGAATAAAAATGAGCTGTTAACCGTGCAGTGTGGGCAAAGTCAGACCACAAGAGAACATTTATTTTTTTTTTGCCTGGAGTGGGGCTTTAACAAAAACTCATTCACAGGTGGCAGGGTAGTTTTCAGTCTCACTATGGCAGCAGAGTGTTTTCCATGTCCTGATACCATCTCTTATAACAAATTGAAGGGCTGATAACCATGACCAGACAGAATAGGGAGGATTAGGCCAAACATGCAACTCAATAGTACAAAAAGATCCGCAAAGATGCCCCCAGGCAGCCACCATCTGCCCCACACAATTAGAGACCTTGCCCGTGGCAAACTCTGCTCAGGCAACTGAATGACTTAATGAGGGGCTAGACTGCATGGCAACACAGAAGCTGATAGCAGAGATGCGGAGTCCTTGCATACTCATACTTAGGAGGAAGACTGAGCACCCACTTAAAAGAGAAGTTCTCCACAATAAATTTCTGCAAATTCTCTCTGTCCTGCCAACCTGATCAGTTGAAGGGGATTAAGGAGAAGGTGTTCTTCCTGAGACATGATCTCCAGAAAGTCAGAAAATATACTGCAGCCTAGGAGGGCAGACCTAGATCTGTTGAAGATGATGTAATGTCACTTAAACAATGCCTAGATATAGCCAAGACTAAACTGAACAGTAATGACTACAGAGTGAAGGACTTAGAATAATAGGCAAGGCCTCAACAATGTTAGGATTGTGGGTCTCCGTGAGTATAGCGAAGGCAACTCTTCCTTCGACTTCACAGAAAAGTGGCCATTTGATACCTTTGGTGAATCCAACTTTATCCTACTCTTCTCCACAGGGGCTGAAATTCAACTTTCTACACTCAGCCAAAAACATGGGGATGCTATAAAGATAAAAGATAATACAGTTCCACAACATTTCAGTTCACTTCACTCTTTAGAGATACCAAGACATCCTCTTACCCCACTGCATACTCTAGCTCTTCTAAAGGGATTTCAAGGGAGAGTATTTTCTATAGCAACTGTGAAAATGTGCAACTGTGCTCTGGGCCTAATCTAAGGGCTACTGTGCTCAGTGCTCCACCATGCGGGACTCTAAGGTCTCATTCATACAGTATTTTAGTGCCAAGTGTGGCAAGTATCCAGAGGACTCCTGTTGCTGGATTCAGATCTGAACGCAGATAGTTGCAACTGCTCAGCCTGCAGAAAGCAATGGCAGGCTGATAGAGGTCCCAGACATCCGGATGTAAATCACACATGGTACAGGCTGCATCCACCTGTAAAGCCAGCTGCAGGCATTCACTGGATTCTTGCATTTGCTGGCACTAAATACCATTGGTAATAAGGCCTAAGCCAGCGAAGTGCAGTATAAATGAATGGAAGTGTAAACAAAAAGAAAAAAAAGCCAGGAGCCCAGTCATGTGACTTACTTCTCCAGAAAATAACAGCACACATATACAGTGTGTTAACATGCACTGCAGTAATGCATGTTTAAACACTGTGTTGCATTGTCTTGCCCAAAATAAATATACTTATAACGTACTGAAGCTTGTTAAAGGACCATAAGGCTACTTTCACACTGATCTGCGGCAAAAAGGTATTTGCATTTTTAACATGATATGCGATTCAAAAATTGCACCAAAAACAGAACGCATGTGCATTTGTGCCGCATTTTCCATTGATTTCAATGAGGTACGTTTTTGTGCATTTTTTAACCGCACAAAAAAAAATTCAGCACGCAGGACTTTGAAAAAGTGCACCTGACCCGCAACGGATCAGTGTGAAGAGTTCTATAGGAATACATGGTCACATGTTTTTCTTCCGCTTTTTTTAACGCAAAAGTGAAAGAAAAACAGATCAGTGTGAAAGCAGCCTTAAATGCTGAACTCTGGAGAAAGTAAAATCCTCCCTTGCAATGAGGCTGCCCCTGCACTTCAATGGTTAAAGTGGTTAAAAACCCTTATCTATACCCAGTGAAGTTGATAGGCTCAGGTGAAACAAATCCTGCTACATAAGTTGTACCTGTTTATCTGTTGCATCTCTCCTATACAGCCTTCTACAACACACAGAGTTTACTCAGAATAGGTCAGCATCTCTCACCAGCAGAAAGCAGGGCGCATGGATCTGAATTCACAAACTGCACAGCTCAGGGAGAAGATCTCTGAGCCCTGATTGGAGAGCCTCCTCCTCACAGTACAAAAAAAATGAGCACAGCTAAGGCTGTCAATCACAGGCTGTGTGCTGGAGCTCTCCTAGCCCACCACCTCAGAAAAGCTGTCAGAAGCTATTCATACAGATAACAGAATGTGAGGTAGCAGAGAGGAAAAAAAAAGTCAGCTTTTGACAGAGACGAGTACACAGTATAGAAAGATGTGATTTGTCTCATGTCTGAGGTTTACAACCATTCTAAATTGTAATTTACATCTAGGTGACCGAGTAACACAGTTTTACTTACTCGAACCTCCACGACGCATGATGGGTCCCCGCAGCCTTTATCACTTATTTACTTCAGTGGTTGGACGTTCATAACATCAAGTAATAGCTGGACATGAGCAGGCTGAGGAACAGTTCACTGCCATCGCCGGGGGAGCGTACACTGGATAGGTAAACCTGCATTTCCCATTGCCTGGGCCTAATCGAGCACTTGACCCTTACAGTGCAGAGGCAGCCCCACTACAAGGAATAGTGTACCTTGCAAGTGACATTAAGTATTCCTCCCTGTTAGATCCCTCTAGATGCTAAGGAGGTGGTGGCACCCACAATTATAATTTTTTTTGCCAACCTAAAGCCGGTCGTTATATTCTAACAAACCCCTTTGACACAGATTCCCAGCAGAGTGTGACTGGTTCTTACTGCTGACCAGAATTCTTTATATTATTTACAGGTTTCAATGTCTTCTTGAACAACTGCAACATATTTGACCAAGTCTCTGCAAATGAAAAGTAACTCACCCAGCCTCCTTGATCACGAATCCACTGGACAACATAGTCCCTGAGGTAGTCCATGGTCCAATCAATGATTGTACGGATGGTCTGTGGCACATGAGTACACAAAGCCTGAAGAAGATAATAAACAAAGGTTAAAAAATAAATTAAAAAGTCAGTTAAAAAAAACAAAAAACACAAGAACACAGGGTTGAAATGAAAGCGAAACTTTTGAGGAGGATGCCCCATAAATGATGATTCTGAGGTTTAGCAGTCGCCATCAATCACTACCAAGCTGGGTTTAGTTTCCAGTCTTTCCCTCCTTACTGTTCAAATATGAGCTGCAAATAATTTGTCTTACAAGTTTCAATATGATAGCCAAGCCTTAAAATTAGTTCTCAGATTTATCTCCAAGCACACTCACTGCTTTGTGACATTTGCAGAGACCTATGACCATTCTAGTAAGGGTAGAGGTATCTCTAACATGCCAGACTCGGCTCTATGCTGTGCAAAAGGGTGAGACACAATGAGGAATATTTGTATCTGGAGACTGGAACAGGTTGTCGTGTTCACTGATTATAGACCAGTGAGTTATTTATAAGTAGAATAATCCATACTTTCCAACGGTTTGGCAAACTGACACTGTAAAGAAATTAGGTTACAGGAAGCTACCCAAATTTAAAGTGCAACTAAACCCACTGTGCAGTTCCAGGTCATACCCCTACTAACACTTATGCTGACTAACCTGTGTAAGAAAGATGTATATGCTTACCTATTTTCAGGCTGATCTTGTTCAGTCCCGTGATCTGGCTCCCGTGTCACCCAGCAGGGGCTGCAGGGAAGAGGAGGGAGCGCCAACAATAGAAACCGGGAGGCCTGGAATTTCACTTTAACCATTTCCCAAATACGTTAGTTAGGCAGGCTTTGAATAACAACTGTTACAGTTGCTAGCTCTCAACAGCTATCAATAGGCTGAAAGCAGGGTGGATAAAAATCAATGATTTTTTTAAAAAAATAAAAGAAATCGGATTTTTTTTTATTTAAAAATCAGATTTTTTTGAATAAAATGCTTTTTGAGGAAAATATATTCCCATCCAAAGGTTATTCCATCATGAAATAAAGATTAGTTTTTTAATTATGTAGAATAAAGCTGTATATGTTTAATTTTTTTGGTAAATAAATTCCATGAATCCATTCACAATGTCATGCTCTTCCAGAGGTTTTTGTAAGATTATTGGGCAGTTTCTCTGCCTACAAGATATTATCACAGATGTTTGGTTTACTTTGCAGTTATCAAAACTGAATTTGACTCAGCGGAGATCACATGCCTCTTCTTCACAGCAAAAATGTTTATAACATGAACAGAGTTAAGACAAAGACCTTCATCCTAACTTCTACAAACCTATGAATACAGAATCAACCCCTTCAGTGCTAAGTTTCAAGAAGTTCAGTGAATACAATAGAAACAATATTTTTCTGATTGTTTGGAGTGGAATAGATCTGCACAAGAAGAAAGTGAAACTAAGTGTGAGGAGGAAGGGGCTGACAGTCTACGTTTCTTAAAATATATATATTTTGTTTAGCCAAATTAGTTAACAAACATGGATGTTTGTTTAAGCAAATAACATATGCTGGAATGTTATTGTTTCAGTTGAATAAATCTATTTAAATTGTTATTATTAAGGTAATGATTATTTTTCTCCTTCCTAAGTACAACAGAAAAGTTGTCCAAATATGAATGATTAACCTATTAAACTGGGGATAAAAAAACTAATATGAAAAGTTGTTATTCTAAAAATCTTCTACTTGCATATTAAAGTTATACCAGCAAGAATTAGTCTATGTAGAAAACTATGATTTAAATCAAGCCTTGCTGACTAGTGATTTAAATCGTGATTTAAATCAGTTTGATTTAAATCAAATCCACCCTGGCTGAAAGTAAAGCTATCAATATGCTGAAATCATAGCTGACGTGCAGCACCATGGCAATGTCTCTACTGAAATAAAATAAACTTGCCTGCTGTACATTCTGTAGAACGGTGCTTGTGTGCCAGGATGACTGAACTCCTGCACATGCACACGAGTCATCATCTCGCACTAGTCAATCAAAACGGAAGACCAGTCCCCAGAATAGGCTGGGGAGAAGGATCCCTGTGCCAATGAGGGACCTTGCGGATATCTGACCATTACTGGGGAAGTTAGCCTTTGCAGAGTTTAGTTCCACTTTATGTGATTGGGTTTACATATACCATTGGTTAATGCCTTTTTATACATTGTTCTCTGTCCTATAAAATTAGCCCAACTAATTGCAAAGCACCTGTCACTTACACCAACAAATAGGGTAGGAGCAAAAGTCAAATGAAAGTGGTTATAAAATCGTACATATACCCAGTGAAGTGACTAACATGTTAGAATTACAAATAAAGAATTCAAAAAATGGCTGACAGATTTGCTTTGAAGTGGTTATATAACCCTTACTTATACACAGTGAGCTGACTGCCCTAAGGTGATACACGGAGATGAAACAAATCCTCTTACATAAGTTGTACCTGTCTATTGCCAGTCTTCTCTTCTCTACATCCATTCAAAGTGCTGAATTTATGAGCTTTTCTGAGAGTTCAGGGAAAAAAAGGGGAGGGGGGGGTGGAGCTCAGTGAGGCAAGTCTGAGAGCTGACTGGAGGAGACACACACCCCTACACAGCTCACAAGAACAGAGCTGAGGCTGTCAATCTGCTGGAGGTCCATCCAAGATTAGGCAAGCTCAACATATATACACACAGGATGCTCAAAGCTTTGTACTGCAACTCCTTTAGTGTTACTAAACCCACAACCGTAAAATTAGTCTGTATATGCAGTATAGCATGCTTGTTATACTCACTGTGGGACCCTAAGGGGTTAATCCTCTGCATTGTGTAAAAAGGCTGTTTGATCCTGTCTTTTCTGACCCTCCCCTTCTTCTACTGTCCCCAATCCATCTATTGATAGAACAGAGCCTTGGGGGGAGGCTGCACATGCTCAGTTTGGTGTGTGTGTATAGCGAGAGTTTTTTTCTTCTTGGGAGAGTGTATATGATAAGCACAGGGACATTCACCACTGTCCAGACAGTCCTGCAGGCTCACAGGACAATCGGGAGAATGAAAACGCCTCCTACAAGTTTAAACAGGTGTCTTGCTGTACAATGATAGAAGTCAGAAGACTGCTCTAACTGCTGATGAGAAAAGGTATATAGCATATTAGATTTACTAATATTAATATTATTATACAGTATTTATATAGCGATTAAAGGTTTGCTCAGCACTGTACATCATAGTGGGGGACAGAACATGAGACAATACAGTAACAAAACAGAACACGAGGGATTCAGGGGCCCTGCTCTCTCAAGCTTACAATCTAGGAGGGAGGTAATTGCATTTCCGTGTTCTGTGTACTGTGGGAGACCATATATAGGGAATGCAGGGTTCTGGGTTTAGTAACACTTTAAAGTTCATTTGGAGTTAGATTTGCCAGTAACTATTTCCATGAGTCTACCAGGACAGCATGGGATATAGGTACCTTCTCCAACTGGAACAGGAAACGCATCACCAAATACACGTTAAAAAGAAGTCCTCTTTCTGAACCGGTCAGTTTTATACAAGAACCGAAGGATGAAACCTGAACAAAACCTACAAACAGGAAAAAAAAACAAACACGAGAGAGCAGAATCCTGCTGTCCTGGAACACTCATGGAAATAAAGTTACCTTAAATAGAACTCTAGTTTTCCCAAATTGTCTTCCAGGACTGCATATGAGAGGATTTACCAGACTAGGGATGGAGAATAAAAAAAAGCCCTCTCCTCCCACAGGGCTGGCCATGAAGATCACAGATATGGTGGGCCCTATAATATTACATTCTCAACAGCAACAGAGACCTAACTGCAGGGAAAAGTCTAAGCAATGTAAGAAATAAGAGCTCAAAAATTGCACAGGGCTGATTTAAAAAAAAAAAAAAAAAAATCAATATCAGTTATAAAGGAACCAAATCCTAGTGAGGCCCTGGTCAACTAAGGACTTATGAATGCCCTTGAAGCCTATGTGGCCAATGTAACAGGTAACTGAAGAATTGTACCGATTCATCTATTTAGTTCAGATATTTGCGCTCACTGTATGCACAATGCAAAAACAGCACATAACTAAAGAAAACTGTATATGAAGACTTGAGTGCAAGCTGAAAGACCAGCCACAACAGAGCATGCATAGACTGACTAGGTTTAGCTATGGTGGGGATAAAACAACACCCTACATAAAATAAAAGCACTCAAGAAAGGTCTGCAAAAGATTTTTATTCTTATCTACACTTAGTAGGTTGTCAGATGTCACACATAATTTGAAAGAAAATGTCCAGTGCCAACTCCTTCAAATTAAATATAATACATTATTATTGTAAATTTTACTCCCCATCACAATATCAAGAGCTATACACTGTGGTACAAAATAGAGACCACCAGAGCTCATATGAAAAGCATATATAAAACACTTGTAAAACATATTACGCTCCATTAACACTAAGGTGTTGCAAATTGTGGGGGGAAATCGCCACGATTCTGCCCGCGATTTATATGAATCACCCAACAGACACCTAAGCTTTAACATATAACACAGCAAAACATCCAACTTTTGGAGTTCCCCTAGAGGTTACAGTCACAGTAAACTGAGGTGATATACAGCAGCGGGATACATAATAAAACTTGGATCCAAAACAACCTACGTTTCTGGCAAGAGCCTAACTATAAAGCTATGTACACACAGTCCTACTTTACACGATTCCTGCTGAAGCAGCTGATATTTGGACTGTGTGTACAACTGTCTTTCCGAACAGAAACCAGTCTAAGCACTGGCTTTTGTTGAAGGGACATGCTGGAAAACCAGTATCCGCTCAGTGCTCACAGCCAATGTCTGCGAGCGCTGATTACGGTGTTCTGGCAAGGGGGGGGGGGGGGGGGGGGGTCACCATGTCACAACACAATAAGTCAGATAAAGTACTGCACTAACATCACTTAGAGATAGTTAGAACAGCAATCTCTAAGTTGCTTTTTTCATTCAGCCCGCTGGGCCGTGTCTACCAGGATTTGGAGTCCCATGCAGACATAATGCA